CTGTCTTGGGAGGCTCTTGAGCTGCCTTGGGACATGTTGGGCCATCTTGGCGGCATCTTGGCTGCCTTGAAAGCTGTCCCTGGAGGCCATGGAGCTCCCAAGAAGACCTCAAGACAGATCAAGAGGCACCCATGCCGGCCCAAGAGGCCCTCCAGGAGAGCCCGAGGAGGCCAAGACCATTGTGTTTTTTGTTCCGTAGGTTTTCGAAGGATTCTGAGGTTCTGGCTTGTTTGGGTTTCCGACCGCCCGAGACATCACAAGAAGCTTCTCTGAACCGCCTTACTGCTCTCTTGGAGCGCTTCAAGCCCGTATTGGGGCCCTCTTTTGGGGGGCCGCTTGGGCGATCTCTGGGTCCTCCTGGGGCCCTCTTGTGGGCCTCTTGGAGCTATCTTGGAGGCCTCTTGGAAGCTTCTTGGGCCGTCTTGGGCGGTCGGAAACCCGAGCAGGTGAGAACTTCAGCATCCTTCAAACACCTATGTCGAATCAGTGGTTTTGGCTTTCTCGGGCTGTCCAGGAGGGCCTCTTGGAGGCCGCTGTCTTGGGAGCCTGTTGAGCCGTCTTGGGCTATGTTGGGACATCTTGGCGTCATCTTCGCTGCCTTGGAGGTCTCTGGGAGCCCGCTTGGGCTGTCTTGGGGCCTCTTGGGCAGTCTTGAGGCTGTCTTGAGAAGCTCTTGAGCTACCTTAGGCCATCTTGAGCCGCTTTGCTGTCGTCTCGGCCATCTCGGAAGCCCTCTTGGAGGCCATCTCGGCCGTCTGGAGGCCGAAAAGACCGCCAGAAAACAGTTTCAGGTGAAACGGTTTTCGAGAGGCGCGCGCGAGGAGGGAAGGTTTTTTGGGGCCATCTCGGAAGCCCTCTTGCAGTTCATCTTTGCCGTCTGGAGGCCGAAGAGACAGCCAGAAAGCCATTTCAGAGGGGGCTGTCTTCGAGTGGCGCGCGCGCGGAGGGGAGGGGATCGGCCCTAGGAAACTCCAGACAACCACCCAAGCAACAGACGAGCACGTGATCTTCTTCTCATTCACTGATTCGCCGATCCGCGCGGGCCCCGGAGTCCCCTCCGCCCCCCCATGGAATAGATCTTGGTTGGGCCATGGGCTCCCGTCTCGAGCAGGTGGAGTTCCCCAGCTAGGACGCACTGTTGCAAACGGTCGCGCGAAGCCGAGGTCCAGAACCAGATCCCCCCCTCCCGCCCCTTCCGCCCAGTGTCGAAGCGCCGAATCCGAAAATTCGAACGCCCACTCCGTGCAGGCACGGTGGCAGAGATGTCGTATAGCTAGATGCTTTCTTGTCTGCGTCTGGTGCATTTGTGCTTGCCTGTCTGTATCCACGAGGTCTGACGTTCCCATCCGGCACGCAAGACCCGCAGTTCGTGCACGCCGTCGCTCCTTTCCCCGGCTCTGCTGGCCCATCGGGCGAAGCCCTCGCGAGGCCTTCTCGAGCTCCCCCGCCCGCCGTCCTCCGTTCCACTCCTCGCCTCCTGCTTCGCCCCATCATCCCTCTCAGCCCTGATGGGACTGTTTTCCACCACCATAAGTTGGAGGGGGGAAGGAGGTGAAGGACGAGGAAGAGGAGGAGGAGGAGGAGGAGGAGGAGGAGGAGGAGGAGGAGGAGGAGGAGGAGGAGGAGGAGGAGGAGGTGGTGGAAAGCAGGCCCATCAACCCCCCCCTCCAGGATCTATCTTCGAGACGCTCGATCCGACGCGATATCGTCCTTGGCCAGCTCGATCCGACTCGATCTCGACCTCCCTGCGATCCGACGTGGCCCCGCGGTTGCGTGGCGTGGCTGTGCATCTGGGCGCGGCCGCTCCGCTCCGCTCCGACTAGATCTCGACTCCGTGCCGATGCAGGCCGATCCGATGCAAATTGCGATTCGATCCGATGCACCGGTTCGACGCTGACTGATCATGCCCTCCTCCTCCTGCCCCCTCACTCGTCTCCTCCTCCTCCTCCTCTTCCTCCTCCTCCTCCTCCTCCTCCTCCTCCTCCTCCTCCTCCCTCCTCCGTCTTCAAGCCGGTCGCTGAAAGTAGGTGTTCTTGGATATCCGTGTCCCCATCTTCTCGTTGGCGCCTCCCTACTTCAAGAGTCGAGCGGCTGTCCCCCTTCCCTCCTCTGCAGGGGGCGGCTTCCAACGCCTTCCTACTTCGTGCTGCTGCCCACTTCTTCCGACCGACGGGTGTCCATCCGCCCTTCCCCCTCTCCCTCCGTCTGCCTCCCCTCCTCGCCTCCCCTCCCTCCCCGCTGCCCTTCCCCCCCCGCGCCCTGTCGCGCCACGGTGCAGTGCGCGAGAGAGAGCCCGCGCTGGACTCGTGGCCCACGTCCAGAGAAATTCGCGTCCTCCTTCCTGCTTCGAGGCCGCCCCCCCCGGGGCCCGAAGAGAGGCGCGCTTCGCGCGCTTCGGCCCCGGGCCAGAGAGGTGCTCTTCTCCAGGCCGCCCCGTGTGAGGATGCAGAGGTCAGCGCGCGCGCAGATCGCGCCTCGCCGGGCGGGAGGAGCGCGGCGTGCGAGAGGGCCCTCGCCTCGCCTTCGTCCTCCTCCTGCTCCTCCTGCTCCTCCTGCTCCACCTCCTCCTCCTCCTCCGCCTCCGCCTCCTCCTCCTCCTCCTCCTCCTCCTTCTCCTCCTCCTCCTCCTCCTCCTCCTCCTCCTCGTCCTCCTCCTCTCAAGCTCGCAAGGGGGCGGCGCGCCGTAGCACCATTTTGTGGCTCTCGGCTTCGCTTCGCCCGTCGGCTTCCCGCCTTCTCGTGGCGCTTGAGGGACACCAGTACGGCTGTGCAGTAGTGGGAACGCTGTTCGCGCTCTCTCTGGCAGTGGTGGTGGCGACTAAGGGGGAGTTCGCAATGGCGGTATCTTCTGCTTCGGCGATCTCCATGGAGGCTTCTTCCGTCTCCCGCGGCAACTGCATCCGAAGCCACACAGGGCGTGCTGGCCACGTGGGAGGCTTCGGACCTCAGTTTGGAGATGTTGCAGGCTCATCATGGCGCGGAACTGTAGCACATGTGGATTCAGATCGTGCCTCGTGATCTATTCCAGCTGTTTGTAGATCCCGATTTGGTTGCGATGCCGTCGTTGACGATTATTTCGTGCATCTGTCCAGTCACGGAGTGCCGACACGTTCTCGACGGCTTGAGCAGTTAGTATGATGGCTGTGCTCACGTGGATGTATCCGCTCGCGGGGTCGTTTTCGACCTGATGACGTTCGAGGCGACGGTGGGCCAGCTCCCGAATTCCACTGCCGTCCGTGTGACCAGGCAGACTCACGGAGCCAGGGCTGCTCGGCGCCCGACCCTCACGGCAACGCTCAGGGAGTTGCCTGGGTACCGGCCGTGCGAGTGCAACCACAATGCGGGCGAGGCACCTCGGCTTCTGGCCAACGGACGGGAACTGGTCGCGCGGAATAGCTGGCAGGGGCCGATTTCAGCGGCGCAGCTCATCGAGTCCGATGGGAGCGTGGACCTCATGGGCGTGTGCTACCAGGCTACGGCGTGGCGTTGGCGGGTCAGCTTCGCTGGAGTTTTGGACGGCAGCACGGTACGGAGCGCGGCGCTTGGTGTTCTCGTGGCGTTGGCCGTTTTGGACACCTTCCTCGCGAGCCAGCCCCAGTCATCGGTGAGCCGCACAAGGCCCGCATCATGGGTGGTCACGTCGGGCTCTACTCGGACATCTACGAACACGCCCTGGAGTAGAGGACCTTTCGGTTGCTGGCTGAGCGGCTCAGAGCGATTCGTGATGGAGCCTGTTTGCGAGGACTCGCTGCTGGGCGAGGCGCTCATTCAACCGTGGGTCAACCTGAATACGGCCATTATGTGGACCTTCGCGACGCCGCCCGCTTTCGCTGTGTATACCGAGGCCGTGTTCTAGCGTGTATTCGGAGGAAGCAGTGACAGTGGGCGGTCGCAGGAGGCCGCACTCATGCAATACAGTGTGGCAGCAGGGAGCTCAATTCAGTTTTCATCAAGGTTCTTGCTGCCATCGGGCTTTTAAGACGCTTGGCTCAAGCTGGATGATCGGCGCGGGCAGTGGCGCTCGGGCAGTGGGCATGGTGCGTCTGCTGTGGGTGCTTCAGGCTTGGTCCGTTCGCAAGGCCAGGGTCCTGGAATTCGTCGTTGGGAATATGGGTGCGCCAGTTCGGCTCAAACCAAGGTTTCAGTGCAAGCCAGCTCCAGTGGCGACGGGTGCCTGGTGCGATTTACAGTGCCGTCGAGGCATGTAGTTTCTTTTTGGCTCGTATCTCTGTCCTGTGTAGGTGGGCCTTTTCTGTTGGCTTTTTTTGTGTAGCAGTGGGGGCTTTCTCTATTGGTGGGTCGTGTCCCGATTGACGAGGGCTTATCGGCAGGCGGACATTTCCGCATGGTTTCGGTATTATGCAGGTGGCATGAACAAGCGCGACCGGAGGCTTGACCTACTGCAGCAGTCTTGTGCATGTTCGGCGTGCCCTCATATTTTCGGCTGGTATTGATTGGCTGCAGGTTAGTTCGTGGTGTTTCTAAGTGCAAGTGCGGCAGGTGAACCCGTGGTGGTGGTGGCGTATTGGCTGAGCCTGGTCAGTGCAAGACAGACGTATTGCTGGTTATTTCTGGTCGTGTGGTTCCATATCGCCAGCGCATTTCCTGGAGTACCGAGGTACAAATTCGGCTGTGGCGGACAATAAGGAGAAGGGCGTGCGGGCTGGGTAGCTGTCGTGTGCATGTGCAGAGTGAATACATCGTCGTGATATTGGGCTTGTTCGACTTCTTGGGCGTGGGCGTGTGAGTGTGTCGCCGGCTCGTGAGGTGTGGGATGGACTTGGTCCTGGAACTCCTGAACTCCTGAACTGCTCCTCCTCCTCCTCCTCCTCCTCCTCCTCCCCCTCCTCCTCTTCCTCCTCCTCCTCCTCCTCCTTCTCCTCCTCCTCCTCCTCCTCCTCCTCCTCCTCCTCCTCCTTCTCCTCCTCCCCCTCCTCCTCCCCCTCCTCCTCCCTCCTCCTCCTCCGCCTCCTCCGCCTCCCGCAGCTGGGGCGCCACAGGCGCAGCTCGCCGAGGCCGTGGCCGAGGTGCTCAAGATGCACCCGAACGGTCTGGGGAGGAGGGGGGCGCTCAGGTCGGGCGTCGCAGACATATTCTACTTCGGCGATTCATTTTCTAAAGTCATGCTATTTACACCAGGCGTTCAAAAAAACAAATGTAACTCCAAGTTCATTGGAAATATTGTTTTGCCCATTCCAAAATGTCACACGCATTTTGAGTTATTCCGATTTTAGTCAACCCGCACAGCAAGGATGGGCAGGCTTCCCAAACCTCTTGCGATTCGACGCACGAACCACGGCGGCGATGACAAGACCGCCCCTACCCCAGGCCCGTCCTGGGCGACCAGGTTTGACCTCCAGAGTGGAAGCAGATGACGCGCAGTCCAGCTCTCGCTCTTCCGCAGAGTCAGCCCGCGCAGTAAGGATGGGCAGCCTTGCCAAGGGTAGCCCTTGCATCCCTGCCGCCCCGGAGTCCATCCTTGGCCGCCCTCGCTGGCCGCGCCCCGCCCGAGAAGCTTCGGAGTGGGCGTCCGAGGCCCTTGGTCTCCCGATCGCGCAGCCTTCCTCTGCGGGTTGACTGCGTAGCGGCGTGGTCGGCCGCCCGAGGCTGCTTCCCGGCTCCCAGCGGCGGTGCAGAGCGGCACGGGGCGGGATGCTGGCCCTGCAGAAGGGGTCGAGGTCTCCAGTTGTCTACACGGAAGAGTGACCTTTCGCCGCGGACCCAAGAGGAGCAGGAGGAATTGGGGGAGGAGGAGGAGGAGGAGGAGGAGGAGGAGGAGGAGGAGGGAGGAGGAGGAGGAGGAGGAGGAGGAGGAGGAGGAGGAGGAGGAGGAGGAGGAGGAGGGGGAGGGGGAGGGGGAGGAGGAGGACCGACGACACGGAAGGAGTGACTTTTCGTCGGAGTGGCCTTTGATGCGGGCCCATTGGGGGTCCCCCGGGTTGCCGAACGCGATGCGGTCGTCGCGTTTTGTGCGCTCGTGTTTGGTCCCCCCGCGGCCCCCCAAAGAGCCGCGCACCAAAGGTCACTCGTACCCAGGGTCACGCTTACGCGTAGCCGATACAGACGCCCGCGCTGATGGCGATGATGTCTATGGTGATCATTATGGTCGTAGTGGCAGTGTCGGTGATTATGGGCTTGGTAGTGGGTGAGGAAAAGGAGACGGAGCAGGAGGAACAGGAGGAGGGCAGGAGGCGGGATGGGAGCGTTTAGATGGCTCATCATCCTCATCCTCTGCCTTGCCTTTCTCTTCTCCATCATCCTTCATTTTTTGTCGTCGTCCTCCTGCTCCTCCTCCTCCTCTGCCTCCTTCTCGTTCTCTCTTCTTCTTGGCCGTGCGCGGAAGGGGCCCTGTCGGGGGCGCCGCGGGGCGGGGGTGGGGAACGGAGGTCTTGACATGGCGCAGCTCAAGCCGACCATTCACAGGATCGTGCAGCGCGGGGCAGTGATGGGGGCGGAGGGAAGGGGGGGGGCATGAGGAGATGGTTGGGGCGGGGGGGGGTCAGGGGCAGGCCTTGGCATCGCTCTGACGTGTGCATTTTTTCCGGCGAGAACCATCGAGGAGCATCTTGGATCAATCATTTCGCGGAGAACTGCACGCACGACTCCGAGAAATACACGGGGAATGGACGTCCGAGCGATGGCAGGAGGCCAGACGCGTTCGCGCCGGATCGGACATCTTACCCCACCCCGCCTGTCCTTTCACACTTCGTTGGCCTCTTTTCTTCTGATTGCGGGCCGAGGTGTCTCGACGACCCTGATCTTCCAAATGGAATACCCCCATCTTGTTATGCGCAATCAGAAACAGGGGCTCTGTACAGTGCAATTGGGGGAGGGGGATGGGGAGGATTGCTGGGGAAGGGAGAAGTATGGAGGAGCGGGGAAAGGGGAAAGGGGGAAGAGTGGAGGGGATAAGGGAGGATGAGGAGGGTGGTGATATGATGAAGATGATGATGGGGAGGAGGCGGAGAGGAGGATGAGGGGAGAGGGACGGAGTGGAGGATGAGGAGGATCAGGGGTGTGGGGTCCTACAGGCGTCTGCAGGCCAAACCTCCAGTTATCCGAACAACACGAATCGCGGCGGCGATGACAAGGCCGCCCCTGCCCCAGGGCTGCCCTGGGCGACCAGTCTGGATCTCCGAAACTGGAGCTGACGACGCGCAGTCCGGCCCTCTCTTCCCTGTACCTTTTCGGTGCACGCGGCGGCGAGAGGACCCGGCCGTGGTGACGAGGAGCGACGAGAGGGGGGATGGGCTCCCCCAGGGCAGCTGGCCGATCTCTCGAGCCACGTCCCTCGGCAGCGCAGCCCTCTGCGATGACGTGCTGAGGGGTGAGGGGTGGGGGGTGAGGAGGAAGAGCAGGGTGAAGTGCAGTCGGGCAGGTCCCTCTCCAGGAGGAATGTCCAGGAATAGTCAAAACATAGCCTGGGGACGATGTTCCGACCATGTTTTGACTGTTTTTTTTTGTTATGATATTTGTTGGTTCAGCTTCATTTTCTTCAAACATCCACCATTGCATGCCCGGCCTAAGAGCAGGAGGCGCTTTGCCTGTACCTTTTCTGGCATACCCACCTCGCCAGCGATGACGCTCGCCAGGCTTATCAGTCCGATGGATCCCCCGTGGCCGACCGGCCCCGGGTGTGGATGGGGAGAGGCAGCACCCGCAGAGGGACCTCGTTCGGCCACGCGCAGAGGGGGGTAGGGGGAGGGGGGAAGGCTTCTTAGAAGCACCCCTGCTTCTTAGACGGCGCGGGCCTTCTCCATTATGTAAGGCCCGCGCCTTCTAAGAAGCCTTCCTCCCTCCCCCTACCCCCTTCTGCGCGCCGCCAACTCGTGCCACCAGGAGTCAGGAGCCGGGAGGAGGCAGGCCGAGGGGCACCCGGCAGGAGAAGGAGGAGGAGGAGCTGGGCAGGGCAGAGCGAGGCAGGATGAGGATGCCTGGCAGAAACATCGAGGGGAATGGGGGAGTGATGATGATGGTGGCGGTGATGATGAAGCTGATGATGCTGATGCTTCAGATGCTGCTGATGCTGATGCTGATGCTGATGCTGCTGCTGATGATGATGGTGATGATGATGCTGATGCTGATTCTGCTGATGATACTGCTGATGATGCTGCTGATGATGCTGATAGTAACAATGATGCTGAGGATGATGCTGCTGATGCTGATGATGATTCTGTTGTTGTTGTTGTTGTTGTTGTTGTTGTTGTTGTTGTTGTTGTTGTTATTGTTGTTGTCGTTGTTGTTGTTGATGACGTTTGCGATGGTGATTGTGATTGTAATGGTGATGGTGATGATGATGCTGTCGTTGATGACGATGATGTCGATATTGTTGGTGCTGGTGGTAAAAGCTCATGAGGGGTAACATGAGGAGTTATCATGAGGAGGAGTGACGGTGTAGATGAGGATAATGCTGATGCGCAGGAAGATGGCGATGATGTGAAGGGGTAGAGCCAGGAGGAGTGAGGGATGCCACCGACAAGAGTGAGGATGAATACAGAGCATAGAAATGATGACACGACGGTGATGCTGATAATGCTTGCGACAAGTGAGGGCGACGATCACGACGATGATGTCGAGGTTGAGCATGACGGTGATGATGCTGTCTATGATGATGATGATGGTATTGTAGACGACGGTGGTGAAGCTGGTGGCTGGTGATGATTAGTGTGACGAGGAGGAGGAGGACGAGGAGGAGGAGGAGGAGGAGGAGGAGGAGGAGGAGGAGGAGGAGGGGGGAGGAGAGGAGGAGGAGGAGGGGGATTCGGTGGGGAGGGGGGAACTTCGCATCACGTGACGAAATCCCTCTGCCAAGAAGGGTCTAGAATACTCTGCGTTTGGTAGTAAGCGTGGTCGGCGACTTGGTTCCGCCACGTGATGCGAATCGGAGGAGGGTAGGAAGATGAGGAGGAGGGGGAGGAGGAGGAGGAGGAGGAGGAGGAGGAGGAGGAGGAGGAGGAGGAGGAGGAGGAGGGGAGGCAACGAGAAGAAGTTGGACGATGAGATGGGGAAGAGCGCGGTAGCGGGTGGGGGTGGAAAGGACGAGGAGGTGGTAGGAAAGGAGCAGGAGACGATTTGGGGAGGAGGAGGAGGAGGAGGTGGAGGAGGAGGAGGAGGAGGAACGAACGAACGAATGAACGAAAGCGATACGGCAGCAACGTCGACTCACCGTTGACTCTACAGCCTACGCGGCCCCATGAGGCCTATCTAGATATAGACAAGTCGGCCCCTGGCGGGCGAGAACGTCGCACTGGCTCTGAGGGCACCTCCAAAGCCCACATAGGCCGCGAGGGCCCCACTCGAGCACCCCTGGCTAGGGTACCTCAGTCAAAACTTAGCCTCTAAAAACCAGCCTAGGCCGAGGCTTGTGAGGCATCTGCTACAGCGCCGACGCCTAAGTTGTCCCCACCCGCCCCTCCACCACGACCAACGACGACGGTCCGACCCCTCCCCCGTCCCTTAGAGTCTCTACCAGCCGCTCGATCGGGCCTCCTACCTCCTATATATCCAAGGGGAGGCCTCGGATCCGAATTACGACTGCCCTTCCCCCTCCCAGCCCCCCCCCTTCTACCTCCGGAGCCTTGCGCTCCACGGAAGAGGGCGTCGGCCGACCACTCAGGAGGCGGGATCACCGCGCCTCTGGCCACTAGCTCCTGCAGCCGTCTCGAAGTGCTCAGCGCCCTATGCGCTCGAGCAATCGCCCAGCCTCCCGGAGGAGGAGGAGGAGGAGGAGGAGGAGGAGGAGGAGGAGGAGGAGGAGGAGGAGGAGGAGGAGGCGCGTCATCCACAGGAGCACCGGCCTCTGGGTCTCCGAGGCGTTCCTCGGCTACAAGAAGCTCCTCAATCTCATCAGGTCTTCAACCATGGCCCGTGCATGCTGGACCGCCTTCCGCCCCGGTGCCTTCAGAAGTACAGCCAAGACGCTGAAATGAGAACACTTTTGGTTCGGAAGGGGCTCGGTGTTCCTTTAGGTTCCTCCATTGCTGTTCCTCTTGCCCTCCTC